ATAGCTTTGGATTCCAAATACTAATTAAAATCTCTTTTAACAAAAAGGGAAGGGGAATATAACCATTTTGCATAGGTACATTTATTTATTTCAAATGATCTTTTACTAAATGTTTATTAAATGTTATTAAATATTTATTATTCCATTTGACTACAGACATTATTAGTCATAGCAAGAGAATACTTGTGAGATAAATTCAAATTCCTTCTGATCCTTTAATAATTCACACATATTTTATCCATTTAACAATCATGTGTTGAATGTTTACTGTGCGAGAGGTGCTGTGTTAGTTATTGGTAGTTACAAAAATGATTAAACAGATAGTCACTGTCTAATGAGGAACAGACACCCATAAACAGGTAACTGCAATTAGAATTTAGCTAAGTGTGAAGAAATATGGAATGAGAGTGGAGGAAGAATTGAAAAATTACCCCACGGATCCTGTGTTTCTTACGGCTATGAGTAGATAAAAGTAAAAATACAACTAAAAATTCTTAAAAACCACAATCTTGCCTGGCTAGGTTCACTAGCCATGTAAGTTCCCTCTTCTTTCCTTATTTCTTATATCCTTATACATGAATATCCTGCTATATTATGGTTACCCATATTGTTTTTTTTTGTTTTTTTTTTTTTGGAGAGATTTTCACTGTAGGGCGCGTGCGCTCGCCAGACAGACAGAGAGAGACATAGAGACAGAAAGCGAGAAATCACCCCCCCAGGGGGGATGGTCACGCCGCAATCCCTTCTCCTCCATTCTCCTCTCGGGATCTTGGGCACGCACGCACACACGCCCAGCGTGAGTTTTAAGCCACCGAGTCTGGGACACGAACCGCGGTCGACTACGTGGGAGTCCAGCGACATAGCCATTACGCCAACTGCTGGTTCCCCCCATTTTAAGTTTTAAAAGTAGAAATTTTTGTGAATGAGGTTTTGGGCTTCTCTGCTTTGAGCTCACTGGTATAGTTTTCCTTCTTTCTAATTCTCCAGCACCAAACAAGTAGGACAAGAGTAACCCTCACCCTCTGGCTTCTACATCTCCCTAAGGCCAGTCACTACTCTAGAAATAGCAGTACTGTCAGCTAAAGAGTAAGGGGCAGGTACTGAGCTGGTTCTATTGAATGATAGCCCCTTATTTGTCACCCTGACTTGGGAAGAGGAAAAAGGTGTCAATTAGGGGAAGAATCAAGAAATTACCAATCCTTTGCAGTATTTATACAACTTGGTTTAGCTTCTGAGCCAAACACCAATACCTCAATAAACACATCTCCAATGCATTAGCAGTCAGCATAATTTAGTTAAGATCCTGCCTCAACCTACCTTTCGTGCTGCCTCACGTGCCATATTTTTCCCACACAGATCTTTCTGATTTTTGTCTCACAGAATCCTTTTCTATATTCCCTGAATGGATCAACACTCTCAATATGTATTTCATTTAAAACTGCTATTTTCTCAGCCTAGAATACTCTTCTTTCCCTTTCAATTATTTTCTTTCAGTCTGTGAAACTCAGCTGACATAATGCTCCTTGGCAAAGTCTTAGCTTACACATTGTGTTGTTAATGGCTTGTATTACCAAACCTACCTGCCTTTTTACAAACCTGGATATTTTCCTGTCTCTTGCTACTAGATTACTGGCACTCTGGGAACAAAATACTCTGTTGTATTCATGTTTGTTACCTCATTACCAAGAAGGTATCAATAATTGGTGAATCACCAATACTTTGCCCAAAGTAAGCATTCAATAAGTGTGTCATTGGGATTAATTTCAGTCAGGACTTCCTAATAGGTATTTTGTATGTTCTCAGTAAGTCTGAAAATGGAGCTGGGAAGGATAGGAAGAACAGGACCTTTCTGAGACGCTTCTACTAGCTTTTTTTTTTTCCCTCAAGGAGTGGAAAATTTGATGAATCACTATAGTTAATGGCACCCAAATCCTAGAAAGACTAGTATTTATGCAAAATAATCACTTCTGTCTCTTCATGAAGTTAACAAGGAAATCAATTTCTTTGACATACCGTATAAAGTTAAATATCTCAAAGTTTGATTCTACTTTGTACTTTCTCATATATTCAGAGTTCACTATGGTATTAATTACAACAATATTTTTTGTTAACCTGAAAACTACTTCTAAACAGCAATATACTTAAGTGATATAAGTCACATTAACTACTGGTATTATATGGACATTTTAAAAGTACAGTGTACTTCTATAGATGGCCAAGTATTGCAGCCTCATTTATCCAGCATATTTTGGATCATCTTAAAAGAATTTAAGTTATTATTCTAGCATGATCAAGAAATTAGGTACTTAAACTAGGCTTTTATAGATAACAAGTTTTACAACATTACATATCTTCAAAATTTTAAATATTCTCAGTGGATATATACATACTGAATATTACACAGTTCTGCTTTTTTTAAAAAAAAGTACAGCAAATACAATCTTATTTTTCTTGATGATCCAGGATTATTATTATCACTGTCAATTTCTGCACTAGCTACCATCCTGGAATACAATGGAAGCTTTAACAGCTATTAATAAGTGTAAGGCTGTTGGCCTTTATCCTAAGGGGGTTCAGATTGTTTTTATGACTCCCTGCCTTCCATTTTCACTGCCTCCTCCCTCTACTTGTTGGCACTTTTCTGTGGTAACCAGTGTGTTCTGATGGTTTTTCAGAAAACTGTCTATGTCAGGGCCTAATGGCTAAATTCTCCTAGAGAGTTAGGAGCCTAAGCTTCATGACTGTAACGTGCTAGTCAGAGGCCCTTTTCTTCCTTCATTATCTCTAAATCCAGAAAGTGGCTGAGACGGCCAGAAGATTAACAGCTAAGTTTGTGGTTTGTAAGAAGTACTAACTTTCAATGATTTATATCCATCATTGCTTTATAACTTTCACTCAAGAATTTTTAGTTTTATTATTATGGTAAGTCTTAAATTAGTTGTCAAGTTATTGTGTAAATAAGTATAAATGAAACCTCAGTTCTTTTAATTCATATTTTGAAAGGCCAGCCATGGACTTCAGACTCAATACAGGACATATTCCAGTGTTACCATATTGCAGAAGAATATTCTTCAGGTATTAACTTTAAAAAATTTTAGGAATTCATCATTCAGTTCACACATGAATGCATGAGAACTTCACATTTTAACTCAATCCTTTTCACCACACTCTGTACATGGGTAGTTCATTTCACTATTGTTGACTTATCTCTGCTTCATCAGGAAAATAAGAGGAGGAGAGGAGAGAAAAAAATTCTTTTGTTTTCCATTCACTAAAAAAATAAAAAAAAATAGGTCACTGTATCTGTGGCACAAAACAATTTATAAATGTCACTAAGTTTGGGCCAGCTGGTGGCGTGGTGGGTAAAGCAGCAGGATTCCACGTGGCTGGCTATACAGTTCTAGACCTGAACCTGGTGCTTGAAAAACACATCAGGAGCACGTGCGTTGTACCCTAAATCCAAAACCCTGAGAGGAGAATGGAGGAGAAGGGACTGTGATGTGGCCATCCCTCCTGGGGAGTGCTCTTTTTCTTTCTTTCTCTTTCCAGCAAGTGCACATACCTTATAGCAAATTAAAAAAAGAAAAAAAAAAGACACTAAATCTAAAAACTTGAAAGTCCTGTCATTTGGCTAGGATATTAATCTAATACTTGCTCATAATTTTTTAAAATGAGAAAATTTGTAAAAAAACATAAAATTTCCCAGTAAGAGACATCCACAAACTCTACAAAGCCCTGAGATACATCAGGGAACACAGGCTCTTCAGGGTTAATACAAAATAAAACACCCATTTTGGCTAACTTACATATGGTTATCAAGTTAAATTATCTAAAAAAATCAATTCAATTTAAAAGGTCATCCTAACTTAAAAAAAAAAAAAGTACTGGAATAAAAGAAAGAATACACCATACTAACTTGCCTGAATTAAGAAAGAAATACTTTTTTTCCCTACCTAGAATAATGACCAATCTCATGTAGCAATTCTTTTCAGGTATAAAAATAATGAATTTTAATAAAATATGATGAGAAACTAAGTACATTTCTTATCCAATAAACAAAGAAAAGAAATTATTTAAAATCTGGGCTTCACACTGTTATATCAAAAAAGGTTCAAACCAGGCCTACAACTGGTGGTCAGTCAGACCAATTCTGACCCTTCCATTCCATGTTCTTTTGCATTTATAATGATTCTCTGTATTGCCTGATCAGTTTAAGGAGTTATTTTCTTTCAGTGTATTTCTTAAACACTTAGAAGGTCATTTAAAAGATGGTTTAAGCAAGGCACAGGCTAATTCACATAGAATTAGACAATTCAAATTCCAGTCCTGGAATTCTATGTGAATGTTCTCTGAAACTTTGTCTTGTCACTTTCTGCTTATGCTCCAGCTGTGGGGGAGGGGGAAAAGGGAATCATATTAAAACAAAAACAAAACTCCCACCAGTGTCGTTATGAAACTGTGGTAGGTTTTAGCTAGTAACTTAGTAAAAGTACATTTGCAAAGATTTGCACTCTGTATTTTAAAGGAATCTGAATTTAATCTATTTTATTATATATGGGGGTAGTCCTGAAAATGTTCATGAATAATGCATATTAAGAAAAAACTATGCATGGATTTCAAAATTTTTGCACCAAAGTAAGCTTATACTTTATTTTCATTTTCCCACAAAATTTTGAAGTCTCCTTGTATTTTAAAGATGCCCCACAAGTAAAAGTAATACTCTCTAAAACCTAATTCCCTAATAAAACCTAATAAACCTTATACTGAAAGTGATGAACATTAACCATAGTAACATAAACAAGTTGATAATTCTTGCAACTATTATTATATATAGTTATATAGAGAGGTACATTATAAAGATAATTATACATAGTTAATTCTTTTAAGTATTATAAAGATATTCTCAAGGAGTAAAATGTTTGGATTCTTTAGTAGCTGTTTCTAACTCTAAAAAGAAAGGAGAAGAGTGAAACAGTCTTTTAGAGAACAGAAACACTTACTGGGACTTTGAAGGGTGAGGTATTTGCAGTGTCCATAGAGTTCGGTTTCTCAGATGTGCTGGTTCCTGAGATACTCCGCCTGCGGGGGGACCTTTCTGCTGGCACCTCTGGAAAAGAGGAGGAAAGTTGAAACATGATGAAGAACCCAAATCCAGGATTTTTCATCAAAATGTAACATTACTGAGTTTTCACAAAAAAATCAGTTTCCTTTAAAGGTGCATTCCATTCTATCTGCACACAATGTGTCTCTTTCTTTATGATGTTGGAACTATCAAGATATAGAAAGACTTGGTGACAGTTTAGTGTGACAGCTTGTATCTTTATCTATGCACATTTAAAGAATAATTTCCTCTGAGTTAGGTTTAATATCTTTAAGTTCACTTAATAGTTGCATCTTTCAGTGTATGAATCTACTTCTCTACTTGTCAGCAATATAAGAGTTAATAGAATCGAATAAAATTTCTGATATTCTTGTGAACAAAATATAGTCTAGGGTTGCACACGATTTGATGGTGTTTGCACAAAGGTCAAAGTTCGGTTCTGTGCAGATAAGATGAGATGTTTCGTTCACAGACTGCAACGAAAGGGCCATGAGAAGACTGAAAGCTGCTGCCAGGATAAAATAACATATATTATGCAGATATAAAAATAGATCAGCTTCTCCTTGTTCTGGCGATATGACCTTACTAAGATCTTAGTCTGAAATCCTGAATCTGTTCAAACTGACCTAACAAAATTTTTGCAGATAATGTGATCTCCAATTTAGTTACTCAATACTATATTTAAGCTACATTTTAAGATTTTTTTTCAGAAAGTGATACACACACACATGCACACACATGCACATACACACACAGATGATAAATATATACATATTATACCTTTATCACAACTGCTTCCCATCTCCACTTCAACTGACAGACATATAGGAATCCAGCTTCTCAGATAACATTAGATAATCTCAACATGGACAAGAAAAAAAAAAAACATATCCTAAAAAAAGTATTCTGTGTTATCTTCCAGATCTTAAAAAATAAGGAGTAAATCGTGACTCCAGAAACTGACATTTTGATTCCTGCCGTTCTCCCTTTAAAAGACAGATGCAGTTTAAACTTCCATTTCTGGCCTCCTGGCCCCTGGGATCCGTGCTACTTCCACTTAAGAGAAAGCGTTTTTTCTCTCGCTCCCTCCCTGTGTCTTGCTCTTCCCCCTCCCTCTCTACAGCTTGCAGAGAGAGCAAGCGAGAAAGAAACACACAGGACTGCAGCTATTCAATCAATCGTTCCGACTGCACATCCTCATTAGTTACTTTCAGGCTATTAACAGACGCCCAACCACTGCCTCCCCTCAGTTACAGAAAATTTCACTGTATTACACTCATCTGCAGCAAGAAAAAACATTTACTGAAATTTATATTCAGCTAGTGCCAAAAGGACACCATTTTACAAAGACCCAGTAATGCACACAAATCAATCCCTCCTATGAAAATCCAACTGGAAGCGCTTACCCTATTACTATCTTGCATTCTGGTCACTGATTTCTTTTCCATGCCTAAACATATCTTTTCAGTGACATCCTGACCAGTAAGATATAAGCCAAGCTACAACACTTCTAATTACTGAGAGGTTGACAATATAGCGTCTCATATGCCTGCAGTACAAGAGAGTTCCAGGTTTTCACTGTGTTTTAAAGATATGACCAATAACTATAAGTCTCTCAACTTCTCTCTAACCATCAGTGGTTAAATGAGCCTTAATGTGCAAAGCCATTTTCAGAATTAGGCACACATGACTTCTAACGCACATCTCTGAAAAAAAATGGCAGTATAATTAGCTCAGATTCATGAGAATGGCACGAAGCACTGAATTTAAGCAAATCAGCCTGTCGGGAGCACACTGAACAGCAAGACCTTCAAACTTCAGGAACATAACTTTACATAGTGATTACCCACATTAGGTGATTCTGTATGAGCACGGTGAGGTGAGGAGTTTGTGTAAGAAGGAAATCTCATCTTTTGTCTGCTAATTACCTATAGAGGTACCTTCGTGTGAAATAAGAAGACAGAAGAGATTGAATATTATAATACAACATATATTTTAATGTCTGAATGATTGCTGGAGTAACCAAGTTTGGAGAAAAAATAAGTTTCATTAACTAGGATAAAAATTATCTAGTAAACAATTTCTTTAATATGTAATATTCTACTAAGGAAAAGAAATGAAACTCATTTCCTCGCTTTCTTCTAAACATCTAATTTTAGTCTTCAGGCATATTAACTCATTAAATAAATATAGTTCAATGCTTTTAACTATTTGAAATTATATTAGCTAAAATGAGAAATATTTCAAACTCCAATAAATATAGTGTTTGTTCTATTTAAAAAAAATTTTGTACATTTTCTTTATCAACTGAAAAAAAATTACACCTCTATTGTTCCTTACAGGGTGTTTAGAGTCCAGAAAGAAGAAATGAAATTATTCTCAAAGCCTGAACAATTGCCACTGAAGAGGAGGAAAGACAGGAAACAAGGCAAGCTAAATCACTACGAAAAGAGGAAAATCTTTACACTACACTCCCTTCTGATACCCCACAACAATGCAACCTATCTACTGATGTAGAGAAGGCCTTTGAAATATCCAAATTCTTTACTTCTTAAAGATGTGTAACTATTTCAATGTAGAGAGAAAAATATATACCCCAAGAACCACTATCCAGTAGAAACCAGGTAGCAGCTAATATTAGTAAGAGCGAATGAACTCTCGGCTGGATTAGTCACAGGTTCAGCACAGTAAACTGGTCCAGCTACCTTTCACTTTAAATCTCCAAGTGAATGGAAAGCTGCTACTATGATCTTAAAGCCACACTTCTGCTGAATTAAAAGAAAAGTCTGTATTAGTTCCAGTAGGCCAAAATTAAACAGCTGTCTCCCTAACAACCCCCATGGTGCAAACTACTGCATTACTTTCACCTGCTGTAAAATTAATGTTACTTCTCTAGTCATAACATTTAATTAGTCATTTTAAAATATTTTTCACTCTCAAAGACTGAGAAAGGAGACAGTACAATATTGCCTTAGGAGCTAAAGGTCTGGAATTGCTTTGTTCTCTTTCTCATCTTATAAAAATAATAACTTTCATCTTTAGATTGAAAGGCAAAAAAAGTTATAAAAAGCTTGGTTAAGTTTTAAATTTCTCTCTTCACTTTCTGTCACTGGGTTTGAACTGAGATGAAGTGATGACTTATAATGATGTGTGATAACCTCCAACATAGCTCCACAAAGAATGATGTAGTGAAGAGGGAGGACATCTGGGTGCTTTTCTCAGCAGCTCTACTATTTATAAGATTCTGTGCAAGCCATTTCACCTTTCCTGTCCTGGTCTTTATCATTTAATAAACTGGGTTATTCAGATCAACCAGAGATGAAGTTTATATGCTTCAATATAAAGTTAGCTTTTTGGAAGGAGGGTGCTCTCTAAATCCAAAGTATTCTAATCTCATTTCCTCAACATACACATTTTCCTCTATGTCAGTTTGCTTTCTCTGAAAAGTGTAGCAAAGAAATTGACAAGTAGATAATTATGAGGTAAAGATATTTCTGAGTTTTCGACGAGGAATTTTTGCCTGTTCAACAAACAGAAATCAACCTCTGTCATAGAACCTACTAGTGTATTCATGGCCTTCAGTTCACTTATCAGGGAATAAATGTCAAAAAAAATCCTGAATCTCCTAAAGAAATAGTCGCATATTTGAGAAAACTCTCAGTAGTTTCTGGGACACACTGGATTCTAAATAATTATTTTCTCCTTTCACAATTTCTACATTTTTTAGTTTTACAACAAAAATGTATTGCTTTAATTTTTTTTATCTAAAAACACATACTATTTTTCTAAATCACAGATTACCATTCCCATTGTATCGTTTATCCCCACACCTGGCAGTGATAGCTGCTTAAAAATATTTTTTAAATAAATAAGTACAATATTGTGGCTGAAAAAGAAAAAAAAAAACAGTACCATAAATATAAAAGATTTAAGTTCTGTTTTTAACTTCATCTTCCATAAACAACTTTGATGAACCAAGAAATTTTATTTGCCTAACTATAACCAACTTTAGGTTATCCAAATGCTCTAGCTTAACTGTATCATGGCTCTTTTTGATTTGTACAGTGATTTACTGTTCCTTTTAGTATTGAGACATATAATTTTTATATTTTTCTTTAAAATTTAATGTATTACCTTTCCCTGTTAGCTAGTCTTAAGATTAGCTATTTGAAGGCATGTAAGTTCCTGCAGTTCTTTTGTACCTACTACCACCAACATACCTCCCCACTTACGACTTAGCCCCTACCACCACCCTAGGCCTACCCAAGCATTAGATACTTAGCTCTAGGAATTTAGTAAATATTTCATAAATTCAATTAAAGTCCAATGACTGCTTGTGAGACCAAATTTCTTTTTTTTAGAGGTTTTCGCTATAGGGCGTGTGTGCTCGCCAGAAAGACAGAAAGAGACAGAGAGATAGAAAGTGAAAAATCACCCCCCCGATAATTATGAGGTAAAGATATTTCTGAGTTTTCGACGAGGAATTTTTGCCTGTTCAACAAACAGAAATCAACCTCTGTCATAGAACCTACTAGTGTATTCATGGCCTTCAGTTCACTTATCAGGGAATAAATGTCAAAAAAAATCCTGAATCTCCTAAAGAAATAGTCGCATATTTGAGAAAACTCTCAGTAGTTTCTGGGACACACTGGATTCTAAATAATTATTTTCTCCTTTCACAATTTCTACATTTTTTAGTTTTACAACAAAAATGTATTGCTTTAATTTTTTTTATCTAAAAACACATACTATTTTTCTAAATCACAGATTACCATTCCCATTGTATCGTTTATCCCCACACCTGGCATTGATAATAAAAAATATTAAAAATATTTTTTAAATAAATAAGTACAATATTGTGGCTGAAAAAGAAAAAAAAAAACAGTACCATAAATATAAAAGATTTAAGTTCTGTTTTTAACTTCATCTTCCATAAACAACTTTGATGAACCAAGAAATTTTATTTGCCTAACTATAACCAACTTTAGGTTATCCAAATGCTCTAG